ATCGATCACTTTGGATATCATTTCGGATATCCCAAATAACCACATCCCCAGATATCCCAAATGATAACTTTGAATTTATTATTATAACTTGTTTCAAAAAATTAAAATAACAAAATTATAAATTTTAAATGATAAACTTTTTCTTGATTTAAATTGTTAAATTTGTGGATTATTGAAATCCTGTTTGATCATCTTTAATACTACTTACTATAAAAATACAGATTTATTTTCTGAGGACTCGATAAACTTCATTCCATTTTGTTTTAACATTTAATACATTTAATTTAATTTACACCCAATACATCGCAATTTTGTGAATATTTGCTGACTATTGTCTTAGATCTCCTCTTTAGTAAAAATTAATCATGAGATTCTTCATCAGTACTACGATGTCTCTATTAATTATTGCATTCTCCACAGTGAATTCCCAAAAAAGCAAATTTTCAGGTCATGAAAATAACTTTATTCAAGCAAATTTTAATACAGCTTCTCAAAAATCGGTACGTGAAGCATGATTATGCATCCTTTTAATTTGTTGCGTTATTAAATCCACAAACTCAATCGAGATGGATATGTTTGTATCTGCGCGAGAATAATAAATTACACATATGCCTTCACCTGTTGAATTCATAACATATGTTATAATTACATTACTAATTAGACAACTAAATTGTAATTGTCAATTAATACTTATTCAATAGTATAATCTTTTATTATTAATTAACATGTTCTATTATTTAACTATTCAAGAACGATTACTGTGGAGATGGTAAACAATGTCAAGCGGTAATATGATTTATTGTCCTACTTCTTATTATTATCATTATTACTAACCACTAGTTATGAATCAGGGCGAACAATGTGCTTCCAATAATACTTGTATTCCATTGGTAATTAACTTATATTTTAAGCTTCAATATAAAATAAAATATTAATGGTACCTTAACTAATAACTATTTTATTTTTTGAAATTCTAGGGCGCAACCGATTGTGGTAATTCTACTAACTGTGCCGCGGTAATGGATTTATTTTCCTCATTTCTTATCGAGTATCATTATTACTAACAACTTGCTATGATGCAGGGCAATCAATGTACATCTAACAATTCATGTATGCCATTGGTAAGTAACTTATGTTTAAAGCTTTAATATAAAAATGGTACTTTAACTAATAACTATTTTATTTTTATTTTTTGAAAATTACAGGGCGCAACCGATTGTGGTAATTCCAATTACTGTGACGCGGTAATGGATTTATTTTTCTCACTTTTTATAGAGTATCATTATTACTAACAACTTGCTATGATTCAGGGCAAACAATGTGCTTCTGGCAATTCATGTATGCCAGTGGTAATTAACTTATGTTTAAAACTTCAATGTAAAATAAAATATTAATGGTACCTTAACTAATAACTTTTTATTTTCTGAAAAGGGCGCAATCAGCTGTGGTACATACTACTGTGATGCGGTAATATGTTTTATTTTCATTATTTTGTAAGTATCATCGTTATTAACAAATTCTTTGATTCAGGGCAAACAATGTGCTTCTGGCAATTCTTGCATTCTTGTGGTAAATAGCTTGTTTTCATCTACAATATTAAATTAAATATTAATAATACTTTTACTAAAATGTGTTACATCCGTTGTACATTCAAGAGTCAAATCGACTGCGGAGTTGGACATCACTGTGAAGCGGTAATTTGACTTTTTTTCACTTCTTGTTGAATATCATTATTACTAACGACTTGTTTTGTATCAGGGCCAACAATGTGCTTATAATAATAGATGCATTCCAGCGGTAATTAACATATGTTACAACTTCGACGTGTATTAAAATTTTAATGGTATTTTTACTAATAACATGTCCCTAAATGTTGCAAATTCAAGGGTGCAGTCGACTGTGGGACACACTTTTGTGATGCGGTAATATGTTTATTTTCACTTATTTTTTTTGTGTATTTATATTATTAACAATTTGCTTTGAATTAGGGCCAACAATGTGCTTCTAATAATAGATGCATTCCGGCGGTAATTAACTTCAAATAGTATTAAAATATTAATGGTACCTTTACTAACAACGTGTCTCTAAATTTTGCAAATTCAAGGGTGCAGTCGACTGTGGGACACACTTTTGTGATGCGGTAATATGTTCATTTTCCACTACTTTTTTTTTGTGTATTTATATTATTAACAATTTGCTTTGAATCAGGGCCAACAATGTGCTTCTAATAATAGATGCAAACCGCCGGTAATTAATACATGTTAAATATGAATAATATATTAACAGTACATTTACTAAACTTGTTCTATTTGTTGATAATTCAAAGGGTGATGTTGATTGTGGTATACACAGCTGTAAAGCGGTAATTTATTAATTTTACTTATTTATTATTGAGTATTATTTTTACTAACAAATGCTTTAAATAAGTGAGAATATTGTGGTCCCAATGATTCTTGCATTCCACCGGTAATTATTCATGTTCAATATAAATTATTATACTAAATTACTTTACTAAACATGTTCTGCTTTTTAAAAATTCAAGAGTAAAAACTGGTCGAAAGAAATTCTGTGAACTGGTAAATAAATGTTAGGTTAGAAGAGATATGATTTATATTATAGAATTTTATGTAGCATTTCCAACATTACATGTTCAACTTTTTAATTAATCTTTGATGCTTCATATTATTCGTGCTTATTCAATAATATATAAATGAAAACTCAAGTCCAATTACCAATCTCTATACAATAACTAGCCCTTTCGCAAAAATTATAAATTAGTAAAGGCCGTGCTTATAAAACATTTTACAAAGTAAACAAAAGAAATTAGTAATCGATAATAGATAGATATTTAAAAGAAGGAAACAAGACGATCTTATGCAGGAATTAACATAAATAAAATTTATCAATAATTTATTATTTTAACAAAGCATAAAGAGTCATATTTAAAATAATACGTTTTCATTTTTGATGATTTTTATAAACATCGCAATGAAATTATTTACTTTTCTGTTCTTTTGTTTAAGAAGAATTCAACAACCGAGAATTACAACAATGCAGTGTTTTTAAGAAAATATCTTTTACAAAAAAAACTTTAATACATTTTATTAAGCTTTCGATCTTTCTGACTAATGGACTGATGGATATTTATGACCAATTTTTTTTTGACTTCACGGATCAATTAAATTGTCTACCCGCCATCCAGCCGACCGTAATTAATTGATATTTTTAAGGAATTCAACAGCAAAGCCATGAACGGTATAAAAGTGCTTCATTTAGCTCTTAGTTTTCAATTATATAGAAGTAGATACAGTAGATACATTCTTTTCTCTAAAAGCTTATTATATAGCGCCGGCTGAGGCAGTAATATTTGTTTTTATTGTATTATCTTATCATTTATCTAATACATTGTGCATCGTTGATCGTTGCAATCGTTTTAATAAATTAACAAATTATTTTTAATTATCTCCCTTACGAAATTAGGAGGTAACACGATGAAGACAATGGAATCCTAAGATAGAAACTGATAATTCTACGAAAATCGAATTAATAAAGATCGAATCTAAATATCATAAATATTAACTTCCCATCACAATCGCATTCATACCAAAAGTTCGTGTATATTAAATTTGCTTAAATAGAATCAAATGGTAATTATCAAGTGGAGACGAAATAAAAATGCAAGTGAGATAGAAAGTATATCAAGAAACAACGAGACGAGGACTTTGAAGAGGTTTTTTACAATCTTGCTACATAACAAAAGTTAAATTTTGAAATTTTTACCTAAGTTCAAAAGAGTTATTGAATTGTATACATCTATTGAAAAAATTTTGTATTCATAATCCATTTTAACAATGAAGAATGTGATGAAACTGTAAGCAAGTAGCGAACCAGATAAATGAAAAGTGTTCACCATGATATTGCAACCTCTCTATTGAAATAAAATTTTGATTCTATTTCTTAAAAAAAAATAATATTGCAATTATATTTATTTAAAAAAAAATCCACGATATTAATTTTTTTAGTTTGTATAGTTTATAAATTATAAATTTGTATAGTAATATACTTTCTAAAATCATACATGTATAAATCGTTATTATGCAAATCATACATGTCATACATATATAAAAAAAAAAAAGTCACTACAATACATTGCAAACCATATTAATATTATACAGGTTTGTGTAATACCCAACTCGAAGCCGTTAATATTACATGACCCGAATTCGACTCCACCCTATTATTGTTTAGCCAGACCCGATTATTATTTAAACTCGGATACGACTCAAATTTTTATGCTAATATTAATGCGAAAGTAAAATATAATATACAGATAATGAAAAAAGTGTCTTTAGTTCTACAATAATTCAAATTTAGTATATTATTGCCACCGGAATTCAAACACATACAGACGCGAATTGTATCGGCATTAAGACCACATCTAAACTCGTTCACAGGAACATTCGTTGAATATTATTAAAATATTTTCATTTTGTTTAATGATGACGTTCTAAATGATACCAAAGATTTGTTGTATTTGAATCAACAATCTTACGGAGCCTTATCAAAATATTAATAATAACATGTAATATACACTATTAAAAATACATACGAGTGGTTTCTCAATTGGTTTTTGAATTTTTATGTTCAGGTGGAAGAATACACTCTTCAAAAAATTCTTTGGCAAAAATTGCACATCGCAATGCTTTTCGTTTCCATGAAAAGCTGTATTATTGGAATTAGTATCTCGCGCATACCATTTAAATTTATATCATTTATTATCATCACCTGATCATTCGAGTCAACCGGGTCAAGCATAAAATGATAGTCCCGAATCCAAATGACCCGTGTTGAATCGGAGCACTACTCGTGATTAAAGCAAGTTAAGCTTGAAAATTAATCCCGTCACTATATTTTGCTATGTACTAAAAACATTTTTAATGGAACAGAATTATTAAGTAACGGCTGAAAAATGAACTAAAATTATTAATTAATTGAAGAAATCAAGTCATTTATCTGAAACGAATAAATTGAAGTTAATAGTTGGAGTAATATGTGATAGAATATGATAATAGAATTATTGGTGATTTGCGATAGAGTAATAAAAATTGAGGTTATTTTAAAATTAACTTTGAGATTAACAAAAAACGATCTTAAAGATTTTAATTATAGACGATAAAGCTTGGAGTTCATCATCAAGAAGTAAATATTACTTGAGCTCATTCCTATGAAATTTGTGATTTCCAAAATGATTTAGGTCATAGGTATAAACATTATTGCTTTTCATAGCTAAATCATTTATGTAAGCATTATGATTTATAAATAACTTGGCTCTTCCGTAAGTATTTTTTTTCCTATATTTACATTCTCAAATTTGTAATTCTCGAAAGAATATTTATTTTATTTGATCGATGCGATGCTTATCGAGATTATTCACCACACTAACTACATTCACTTTGACACGGGATGTATTGAACACTTTAATAAACCAGGATAATTAAAAAATCCGGTTCATTTCACATCGATTTATTTCACTGAATTTACAAAAAAAATTTTAGTATTAAATTAAAATACAAATTTTTTCATAAAGATATATTGTTGTGAAATAGAATGCGTCCCCCCAAAAAGATTTTCTTTGATTTTTATTTTTACTTCGGTTCGATTGCTTCGAACGTATAATTTTATTTCGTATATTTTCTCGGTTTTTTTATTTATTTGTTTCTAAATTTTATTAGGTAAAGCAACATTATATGGTTTTGATCGTGTTGATTTTTAAATTACGACTCGTTCATAGGTTCACAATTTTTAAACAATATAGCGCACTTGCACCAGTGACAAACTATAAGTTCATTTACTATTTTTTTTTATAATGGTCATTTAGACTACTCTGCCTTACGGAAAATAGGAAATCATATGATCAGTAAAGTGATTTTAATCCATAATGTTCTGTGATTAATTTCGGCCAAAAATCACGCGGGTGAAATTTTTTGCGATTCTGTCCCCAAATTTTGCGCATTTGAATCATTATTTCATTTCTGAGAGGTACACAAATTTGTTGTGATATTTTAGGAATGCCATCCAAAAATGTCATAATTGCGGCGCAATCAATATTATATAACAAACAATTACAACAATTAAAACAAATATCGGAATAAATTAGAATTCATCAAAAAAAGAAACTCTCTTATTTTACTATAAAATCAATAAATGACTATTATATTTTATATTGATTAATTAGTGACTTTCTTATAAATTTTGCAATTTTTAAAAATTGTAGTAATTCAAAATTTAATTTTAAAATGTTTAGCTTATTTGCAAGATTTTTTCGCCCTACTCCAGGTACTAATACCAATAATCTTTACTCAAACTTCTCAAAAAAGTTCCAGTAAACTTAAGCTTTAATACAACAAGCTCCTCATCTTAGTGACATAATTCTTTCTCGTTCGGTGTCTGCGTGCGGCCGACGAGATCTTGATGTACTGCAAGTGAGATATGAGCCTGTCGAAGAGTACAAAGTTATAACTAAATGTTAAAAGTACAAAATTACATTATATTACGTTAACAATCTTCTTAGCATATCAAATAGTTTGAATATTGTATATTGTTCAGTCACTATTCCGGAACAATATGTTCTCCCAAAGGTGAACCATGAGGTGCTTACCGCTAAAGGATTCAACGTTGAAAATCTCGAAACAAAGGACGACTACGGCAAAACGTTTGTGGATAAACTGCATGATGTTGTCTGTGTGAAATTTATAATTAAAATGAAGTCATTTGAAGTCATTTGATCATTTCAAGGTCATTTACCAACACTAAAATCGAATGATTTTTCCAATTTCGCTTTAAGGATAATATATTATGAGTTTTAGAATTCTGTATTAGTAACTACAATCATTTGGTCGCTACGACTATATTTTAATGAGATTTTTTATGTCCGGAATTTTAAGTATTTAAACTAAGGTAATTTGAGCATAATGACTAAAAGCTCATTTAACTTAATCCACATTTTTTAAAAAAAGATGAATGGGTTGGGTTGTCTAAATGAAGAAAATTATTAATCAATTAGAATCGTAAAAATTTAATGGTTATTTTGGCTTAACAATTCTTTTGATCATCAAAATTTATTAGTAATCCGATTTGTGTGACGATTTACGGAATTTTTTTTTTTTTTTTGCTAATTTAACCCGTTTTGATAATGGCTAAAGCAAATTTTTGGTATTGTTCAGTCCGTGTAACACTAATACTAAATAAAAATTTTTTTTTTTTTTATTGCAAACATTTTTTTCTTTTTTTTACCAAAAAAAAATAAAATGGCTCTGTACCTACCGGCTGATTGTATAAAAGAAACTTTTGAATATTTGGAAGATAAGGATTTGCGCTCGTGCTTGTTAGTGAACCGTCTTTGGTGTGAAGTGTCTGTTCGAATTTTATGGAGAGTCATGCAAAATTTTAATACTTTAATCGCTTGTCTTACTAATAAATCAAAAGCGATTTTATACAAGAATGGGATCAAAGTTTCTACCTCAATTTCAAGAAGTCCATTGTTTAATTATATAATTTTCATCAAAATGCTTGGGATTAATACTATTAATGATGAAATTACAGGATTTTTGAAACATCAACCTTCTACTTTACAAAAGCATAAAAGTATGGTAATAATAACACGGGAAATACTTAAAATGTTTATGAATCAAACCACTTTGATTATTTTACACTTCGATTTTGGCTCAACCAACATTCCAAATATTCCGTTTACTGCTTATCCCGGAGGAAAGGAATGTTTAAGTGATCTTTCTGAATTTTCGTGTAGTTCAGATATCTTTCCCGAATTCTTTTGTCAAATATCTCGAATTTGTCATAATTTACAATCACTAAAAATACTTTTTACCCGTTTCATCTCAAATGGATTAGTAGAATTAATTTCTGTTCAAAAACATTTAAAGTACTTGAACTTGGATTATGATTTAGATGATGACAAAGATTTTGATGATGGTCAATTATTATCAAGAATTCCAAACACATTAACCAAGTTACACATTCTTCAAGGGCCTAGTCACATGCAATTGTCATTTATTTCTAAGCTCTCAAATTTACAAGAACTTTCATTATCATTTTAGAAATAGGAGGATTAAAGAACTTTGAAAATCTTCAATACGTTACCTTTCCACAATTGCAAATTTTAACATTCGAACATGAAAGTCCAGATTATAAACGACTGATCAGACTGATCAATTTCTTGAAAAACAATGGAAAGAATTTAAAAGTACTTGGTCTTGGCAAAGAAATATATTATGGTAATTCATTTATTTTAGATATAGTCAATTTTTGTCCAAATCTGAGGTCTTTACGCATTACTTATAAAGATTTGTATACACTAAAATATATTTTGATCGGTTATGAGCAATTAGAGAGCATTGATATTTTGTGTTGTAATGATGATTATATATTAGAGCGTGAATTATTAGAGATGATTGTAGAATATTCACCTAAAAATTTTCATGAGATAAAGATAGATATGGGATGTAACGTAGATCTGGATACGGCATTTCAATGGAATTTGAAGTCTATCTTTGAATCCTGGGCGAAACGTGTGCCATGTATTCCGCTTTCTTTGACTATTACTTCGAATCTGGAAAGTGAAATTAAATTGCAGGAAAGTAATGTCGAATTACTTGAAAAGTTTAAAAAGTTTGGTGTTATTAAAGAATTTAAAATATTCAATGATATGACCGAAGATTGGCATTGTTAAGTATGCACCTGGGGGTTTATTATTTAAAATATTGGAATTAGAATTAGAATTTATTAATTGTAGGACTCTTTCTAGTTTTTATCACGAAAAGTGATTTCATTTTTGTAATTTCTTTATTTATAACAACTGCTGTGTTGTTTTTGTTTGCAACACAATAGTATCCTTTTATTATTGATATTATTAGGAGGTGAGGTGGTTTCTTGTGATGACTATCAATGCGGGTGAACAATAAATTTTTATCAATTCTTATTCAATTATTTATTATCTTCTATCCTGCTTTTATTATAGCTTGAATATTAGTATCACAAACTAAAGTACAAGTGACTTACATTATAACATAAGGACGAATGTGATTAAAACTATTGCTTCAAAATGTTTTGTTACAAAAATTTTCATATTGTATCAGTGTTGAGATTACGAAGATTAAGAAACGATTTAAAACCAGATTACACTCTGTTTATTTTAATTAGATGATCAGAGATATAATTCAACTATTAACCACTATCATCACGCTGTTTAATAAATTAAAAAATTGTTGATATATTAATTATAAATCGTATTATAAAAAGTGTGAGGTTTTCTAATTATCAATTAAAAAAAGAATGCTTACAAAGAGATAATCAAGAAGTGTCAGAAATGATCGAAATGTCGTTTCGCGTAACAAAAGTTATGTATTCTTGCCAGAAAGTTTTTTGTAAAATAATAACTTCAAGGCTAATAAAAAATTTAATTATGGTTAGAGGAAAACAAAAATATTGATTGTATTTTAATTGAATTCATATTTGATAAAATATTTCAATTTGGTTTTGTGTTTGCACGTCACTATATAGTATAGTGCATTGTAACCGATTTAAATTACCATGCCATGTTGAACAATACAATACATAAAGGGTAATTATATCTGATATGAAAGTATTTATTTTGCGTTACTTGATGCTCTAATCATTGAAAGATATAAAAAAAAACAGACAAAAAAATTATTTTAATTTACGTCATGGGACTTTTTGTCAATCGATTTAAAAGATAACTAAAGATTAAGAAAAAAACATCTGCAATGTTCAGATTAGAGTGATGGCCAGTGACCCAAATGACCTAAAATGACTCAAATGACTAGTCACGTGCCATTTGGGTCATTTTGGCACCAAATGACAAAATGACACGGTCATTTCCTGAATCAATCAATTTTTCACATTTTATGTACAAATCAGGTAATTACATTGTTCAATGATCTTTAACATATTTATTAAACGCGCATTTTTAACGAACTAAATTTAAAAAATTATAAAAAATTATAATACAAATTTCTTTTCTATTTGTAATTTACTATTATAAATTAATTATTTATAACATTTTAATAAATTATAAATAATTATAAATAAATAATATGAAAACTTAAATGATACGAGTTCAAACAATTTTTTATTAAAATGATATTATTACTGGTATTTCCAACTAACCTAAATTAGTCAATATATTCACAAATTCAGGCGATTCAAATCTATTATTGAAAATGCTATTTTGCAAGAGGATCATCAGAGGATGAATAGTACGATCTACAGCTATAAAAGCTGATAGATTTGCCTCATCACTATCTGAAAAATTTTCCTCACCAATCATACCCATCCAATTTTGAATTACACGCATCCATTGTTCAGTTGAATCAATGGTATCATTTTCATTGAATTTAAAATCGGGTTCACCGGAAAAATCAAGTCCAATGAATCTAACATAAACGGTAAGTAGAAAAATTTATAATCCTATTAAATTACTTAATTAAATACAAACTAAAGGTTTATTTATAATATTGAGATTATGTTTCCAAAACTTTAGAATTTGATATAGAATAAATTAATTTTATCATTTTATTATTTTAATCTAATTTTCTTTCTATAATTAAATTATATTTCATTATTTTTTACACATCGCGATTTTAATGGAATAGACTATGTCATTTAAAACGATGCTGGTAACTGGCGAGAAAAAGAAACCTATAAGTAAATCATTTAGTTCCTTTAAAAGTTATGAATATCGCATATACATTCTTGTTCATGACTTTTTCACAATTTCAGGTTGTTTTAAAAAAAAAAAAATGAAGGCGATCGATGAAAATATTCAAATAGAATTCTATATCAACACAAAAATGGCTTCTATGCTTAACCTTTCCGACGAAAATCAATTGAATAAATTACAATACATTTTATTTTAAAGATTAATAAAAAGCATAAATTCGAAAAACTTAACTGAGAGTATTTTGAATTATCATTTGCTTTACTTTAATCTTTAAAATATAGTAAATAAATGAGTTATATCCGATTCATTCTCCGCAATTACTGCGTCATCCACAGTATCTTATACATTTAAAAATATTATGTGATTTTAGTTTATTTGGTAAAAAGTAACTAATTCAAATACATTCTATAATTTAACCTGTTATATATTTGGTTTAGGGAATATTGACTTAATAGTTGATGAAGCTTGATTTTCTCTTCTGAAAGAGATGCTATTTGTGTTCTTCCTGATTCTCCATGTATGCGATGCCAACGAATAGTTCATTTATTGATGATGTATTAAATTGAAGTGCAAATGATAATATAATAGTTATTCTGATACTTATTGAAGTAGATTTATTTTTCAATACTTTTTTTTTTGTGGAAAATTTCTCATAAATTGTTTAGACATTTATTTCTACTTGTCCGATCTTGAAATTATACATGTTTCAAATTAAATTACCTCAGCATTCAGTCCTTTACGATAAATGACTTTTGTACAATACTTTATATCTTTTTAAAATCATCATTCAGGACCTCCTTCTAGGGATTGGAACCGTTTAATTTTAACCAGCTAATTTTCCGGTTAAGTTTATTCGTCATTAAAAACTATCAAAATCTTCACGTGAACAACTGAAAATACCGGACCTGGTCAGTGTTGCTGCAAAATTTATTTTGTCTCGAGTCTCATGAAAAAGCAGTAACACATAGAATTGAAACATAGTAGATTGTTAATTTAAATATTGTTTATTAAATTGATATGTAGCGTTATTATTTTAATAAAAGTTATAATTAAAGAAATTTCATTACAACATTTATCAACCTAATTGGCCTTAACTACATCTTCACACATAAAATTGAGAAAAGCATATAATAATAAATTAACTTTTGTTAAAAAGACATGTACAATTGATTTACAAATCACTCGATCACACGAACAATCGAATCAACAATTAAATTTTTTTCTGTAATCTTCTTCAATTATCCTGCTTGCTTTCCATGCCACCATGGCAACAGGAGCATTAGTATCACCATTCGAAATAATTGGAAAAATTGAAGCATCGACAACTCGAAGATTTTTTGTTCCATAAACTTGAAGTCGATGGTTAACACACCCTCCTTGTGATTCTCGTGCCATTTTAACCGTACCGCATGGATGAAATGATGAAATTGTCTAAAGAATGAAAAATTTTCATTAATTATGTCTGAAATATTTCCTTATATTGTGTTGAATATTACCTTTTCACGGATATATTGTTCCCAAACTTCATCACTCATTTCACCTTTAATACTATACCACTTTCCAAATACATCATATGATCCAATTTCTTTTATGCCCCATACAGTACTAAAAAGAGGTTGTTTAATTTTTTCACGTAAAAATTTAAAAGAACTAATCATTCTATACATATCATCAGGTTTTTCATAAAAATTGAGAAATATTTTTGGTTGATCAAATGGATTAGGACTAGATAATTCCAAGTGACCGACGCTTGATGGGAGATTTAAAACTGATGCTAGTGTAATCACTTCTAATTTTTGCATTGGTTTAGTAGCTAACGCATTCTGAGTGCATACTATAAAATTATAATTATGAATCAATTCTTCACATATTATTCAATTGTTTTTATCAAATTAACTTACTGTAAGTTTGAATGTCGGGACATTCGTCAAGAAAATCTTCTTGATTGGGAATTTTTCCTTCAGCATTTGCTTTAAAAAAAATTCCAATTTTTTGCCTACAACACCAATCATGAGATTGTAAAACACCTGATGTACTATTTTGAATAGAAACTTTGCCAACAAAGGAACTAATTGGATGGTCCTATAGATTACGTCCAACCGGTAATTCTCTACGAACTTTAATATTATTTGCTTCCAAATTATCTTTTGGACCAATTCCAGACAACATTAAGATCTTAAATATGTCAATATATATATAACGTTTAATCAACAATCATTATCAGAATATTTTAAATGATTTTTGATTCATACCTGATTACTGTTAATACTACCACCACAAAGAATCACTTCTCCTTTTGGAGCAATAAAAGCGTTATGAACTCCACCATTACAAA